CGCGTGCGCGCCCGCTTTTCGCAGCCGTTTCTGCCGCGACGTTCTAACGTTTTGATGGTGCAGCCCCTTTTCGTCGCGGATAACGCAATGCTGTAAACGCCACCAGTGTCGAATATGTGCCTCTGTGTAGCCCTGCTCGAGGAAATGATTCAGATCGGACTCGTCGATCTCCGCGCGTGGGCCCTGGCCATCGCGCGCGAAAGCGGCGCGCCCCCTGCCGGAGGGGGCGCGCCCCTTCCCCCGGCCTGCGTCGCTGGAGCTCGCGCCGCGCATGGGCTCAACTGACTCAGCGTAGCCTGTGCCCTTAGAGCGGCCGGCGCCTCGAGAACGACTGCTGCCGCGGCCAGGGCCGCCAGTGTCCTGGCTGCGTTCCCCAGCTTCGCCCGGCAAGCCTGCCGCGCGGCGGGCCGCCGAGCCGCGGCCGCGGCGACAGCTCCCTGTCTCGCCCCTGCCTCTAGGGGCCACCCGAGCAGATTGGGGCATTTCCCAGAGTAGCCCCGCGTCTGCCCCCGCCCCGCAGAAGCCCGCTCCCCCCCCGCGAGTCCGAGCGCAATCGGGGCTGGGAGCGGGCAAAATCGCGCCCACTCGTGTCCGAGCTGTTCCATGATTCCAGCGTCGGACGCGCCGTCGAGTTCGTCGCCGTCGGAGTCCCCCCGCGCGTGTCCGCGCCAGCGCGTGGCGGCCCAGTCCTCGATGGGGGCGTCGCATAGCTCCTCGATCCAATCCTGGAGGCACTCGGTGCATCGCTCTACGGACATGGCAGCGCTGGCGAAGTGGGCCATCCAAAACCATGCTGAACTGGTTTGAGAGTGAAAAGGGTGGTCGATCACGGGGAAATTCACGTGCTCGAGAATATCAGTTTCGAGCTGTTCTGAGCCGACAGGCGCGGGCCCGCCCTCCTTTCCACTTCCCTGGAACATTGCGCGCGGAAGTGTTTGCCGCCCCGCATGTGTTGCATGTCAGTCTCCGCCCTTGCCCAGTGGATTAAGCCTGCGCCCCTTGCCCTTGCCCATCGCATGCCTGCGACCTTTGTCTCGACCGCTGCCTCCCAGGAATGGGTCTTCAAAATCGCAGTCGTTCAATCGACGCAGAAATGCGGCCATGCCTTTGCGACGCAATCAGCCGGTGCGTCTACCGCCCCTGCCGCGAGCCCCTCCGTTGCGGAAGAGGGCGCGACGCGAGGCTCGCTTGAATCTTCAAATTTTTCTTGAACGCAGAAGCTCTCGCTTCCACCTTCTTTTGGCGCGGTGATATCTCGGGTGCAGAAATTGCGCAGCTGCGTCATCGCCAGCGGGCAGGTCTGACCAATCGAGGTTTTCGGCGCAGGTAGAAGAGACCGCGTCGGCATCCGCGCCGGAATCGAATGCGTCGTCGTCTCGTTGGCTGGGTGAACCACGGAGGGCAGTCGCGCCAGGTGGCGCGTAGCTGGCCCCGGGCGGCCAGCCCGCGTCTGAGGCAGACGCCTGATCATCGTTGTTGTTGGCGTTTTCGCCTAGGAGCGTCGCGGGCTCAGCGGGCTCTCCGTCGTTCCAGATGCTGTTCGGCGCGGCTGCAGATTCGTCGATGCGTCGCCTATTCCGGCGCGGTAAGCGCCGGCGCTGCGTCCGCCCAAGATGCCCCCGAAGTTTCCTGGGGAACGCTCAGCCAATGTCCATGGCAGCGCATTCGCTCCAGGATCTGGTCGCGCTGCTGTTGAGTACGGGGCGCCCAGTGTGTCAACGGCTGTAGTAGTTGGACTGCTCGGGGAGCGCCGCCCCCCAAAGGCGCGGGATCAGATCGGAGTAAGGCTCTGGAAGTTGGGTATAGTAGGGCCTGCTGAGTCTGCTTCCAGTCTGGCCATCTCGCATCGGACCAGTACTGATTCCAAGCGCTCACCTCTTTCGGCTCTGAAGACGGTGAGGGCTGTCGCTGAGGGGAGTTGTCGCTCGTCCTCAAGGTTTCGAAATTTGGTGCTTAGTGGGTACGTGACGTATGTGACTCCATCGGTGCGTCTTTCCTGCAGTGCGACACCGTAATTGATGATTGTGGACGGCGCCCTCATGACTAGTGCCCTTGCCAGCCTCCCTAGGCCGCGCTGTAAAGCAGCTGCCTGCCGGGGTGGAGTCGCACTTCTACTCGCGACGTTAAGCCATGCGTGTACTTCGCGAACAAAGTCGCGGAAAGGCGCGTTACCGGTGAAGTCCCAGAATGGGCCCCGTGTGCGCGTTGCATCCAATCCTTCTCCTCGCATGCTTGCCACGGCAAAGCCTAGGCGCGCCCAGACAGTTCCAAAGATAGCGGCCTTAACCTAGTGCATAATAATGTTGTAACTGATGATGTTGGGTTGCTTACCCTTGGATATTGTACCGTCCGTAAGGTTGCGACAGGGTGTCTGGTCTGACGTGGCCGTCAACTTGCGGATGGACATCGGTGTCTGGATCTTGCGTGGCGTGTGGCCACGCGGTGGAGAGGAGGTACCGGACTGTAGGATGCCAGTTGGTTCGAGAGCATCGGGAGTGTAGTGGCTGAGAGCCGGCGCAGTCGAGTACTCCACTATGCCGTGGTAAGTTTTGTAAATAGCAACTGATGTGAGAGCCAGCCACACGAAGATGAAACCAGCTCCGCTACCAAGTGAAAAGGAAGGGTACAGGGCTGGACCATGAGGTAATTAGCTGAGAAACCTGCTCCTAGTATAACGTCGGCGACGTATCGAGGTATCCCATAGCCCATGCCTTGATGGCAAGCAAGACGAGAGGTAATAGAGAAGCCGTGGGATGAGGGGATGGATCATAGAAGGGCGTGGCTTTTGTCCGTTGCTATGAACCGCAAATAGAGGTACACAGGGCAGTGCACCTAGCATATGGGACTGTGCAATATTGAAACAAGAGCGCGTCGGAACAAAACGTTCGCAATGCAGCCTCACCTTCAACCTCGTTTAAGGATCCAGGAGGAGAGCGTACATGTTCAGCACGTTCTGCTTGTGCGCGTTCACTGCGTCTGGGAAGTTCCAGGAGACTCCCAAGATTGCCCCAAGAGGGCTCGAAGATCGTCCCAAGACGGCCCAAGAGGCTCCAAAAGGGGTTCCAAAACTGTCCAGGGGGGCCCCAAGAGAGCCAAAGAGGCCTCCAAGACAGCCTCAGAGAACCCAACACACCCCCAAAAGAGGCTCCAGTGGGGCAACATGCACGGGCATTTCGAGCGTGCGGCCCCAAGACGCCCCAAGGACGCCCCCAGAGACCCCCTAAGAAAGCCCGAAGAGGCCCCCGAATGGCCCCCAGGAAGCTCCACGAGGCCTCAAAGAGGCCACCGCAAAAACCCCAATGGGTATTGAAACTGCCCCCCATAAGCCCGCGATAGCCCTCCGAAACTACCACAAGAAGCACCCATGAGAATTCTCACCCACGACCCACGACCCAGGCAACAGGCCCCTAGAAGGCTCAGAATAAGCCCTACTCCCACCCACGACCCACACCCCAAGAGCAGTCCGAACTGTCTCCAAGCGGTCCCCCAGAGGGGTCCAAACAGACCCCCCAAATCACCTGAGAGAGTTGGAACTCAGAGAACCCCGCTCACGAACGGGCCTTTCGAGCGTGCGCCCCCACGACGCCCCAAGGACGCTCCCAATAAAGTCCGAAGAGGCCCCACCAAGCCCCCAAGAGACACGCAGGAAGCCCCAGGAGGCACCGGAACTGCCACCGAAAGGCCCCCGACAGCCCTCCAAAGAGACCCTAAGAAGCATCCGTTAGGACTCTGACCCTCAACCCAGGCACGGTTGCGGGATGGGCTGGCTGCCACTACATATGTGTATATATATATATACATATGCATATTTACATGTTATCCAGTGTGGACCCCAGGCAGTGTGTGACTTGTGAGCAGTGTGCAATGTATGCGGTGCAGTCGACGCGGTGCAGTCTAGGTGGTGCAAGTTGTGTTGTACAATGTATGTGGTGCAATCTGTGTGGTGAAATCTATGCAATCCGATATGTGCGGACCAAAATGTAGTGTACAATGTATGTGGTGTATGTTGTGCAATCTAGGCGGCGACAAGGCGGCGACGGGGCGGTGACGGCGAGCACGGAGCCGCCAGACCGCCACCCAGGCCCAGACGACGGGCGTCGACGGAGCGGCGACAAGGCGGCGACGGCGAGCACGGAGCCACCAGACCGCCACCTAGCCACAGACGACGGGCGGCGACGAGGTGGCGACGGGGCGGCGAGGGCGAGTACGGGGCCGCCAGACCACCACCAGTTCCTTAATCAACAAATGAGAACCCCTAAAAACAATCTCTGTCTGGGAAGCCGTGGTGGGAGTTGGGCCCGTTCGGCCGCGGAGTGGCTTCGATCGCGGGCCCGTTCGGCGGCCGAACGGGCTCAAACGCCGAATGGGCTCAGAAGGGACCGCCAGGGAACTGTCCAAGGTCGCCGATCGAAGCTCTTTCTCCTCGTCCACGGTCCTCTTCGCGACACGGAGCTCTTCCTTCTCAGTGGTTAACTTTTCTGGCCCTCCCCCATGTGGCGGGGCAGTAGAGCTTCAGCCGATTCGACGAGACAGCCCGCAGCTTCGAGGAGGGTGGGGTGAAAGGGGGGCCTGAGATCCGACGTCGTGCAAAACTTACAACGTCGGCAGAACTCAAAGCCAGAACCCAACACATCATCTCTATAGGTTTCTGGAGCCAAGTCGAACGGGGCGAACAAAAACACGGCTGAACAAGCATGCAACGCTCGGAAATCTCGAACCCTGCGCCTCGGCAGGTTTTTCATCCCGAAGTGTCTGTTGACGGTCCCGACCCTCAAAACATGGCCCCACGAACCTAGCAACAAACTGGCCGCCTTGATTGTTTCGAGGCGGCGAATGTCTGAGGAGGGCGAGCAAGAAATCTGTTCCCAAATCCCTTTCGGGTTCCATCTGTGCTAGTTCTCCCCCCGGATCGATTTTTCAAAACAACCTATGTCTATAATGTGTTTCCCGGCCCGCGGAGGAGGATGAGCAAGAAGGAGATTTGGAAGGATCGCAGTGTCCTGGACTTCCGCGGTTCCGCTCTGGCGCCGCGAGAAAGGTGTGGCCTGCTGCCTAGAGAGAACTCGACTCCGAAAAACGGCCGCGGAGGAGGAAGGAGGAGGGATATGGCCTCAAAGAAAGCCTAAACGCCCTCGCGTCGCATGCAACACCACAACGTTATCAACTTCTAGCCTCCAGAGGCCCTCGAGGCTCCAGGACAATCAAAAACGACTCGGGACGACAAACCTGTCTCCAGAAGGGGTCGGGACCTTTGGGAGTCCAAACGAGAACAAATCACGACGTCGGATGTCTAAGACAGCGTCCTGCTGGAATCCGGTCCTGTATCCCGGGGCTTTCCCCAGGACTAACGCGTCCATCCTGTGCCGATCTTGTTGACGGTCATGGGCCCCCTGGGAATGCCTCAGGAGCCCGAAGATGGCGAGAATCCTGCAGAACCTCTTTCTTTCATGGCGAGGGTCTAGAAGATTCTAGAATTCTAGGTTTGCCAAACGCGCACACCGAAAGGTCACTAGGTTCAGGCAGAGAGGAATACGCGCGGACGTAGACGACGGCAACGACGGCGACGACTAACGACGACGGCAAGGACGGCTGCCTGTGTCGTTAAGCTTTCTTGATCGCTAGGTGCTGTCGTAGGGTACGTGCTCTTAGACTTGTACCAGTGGCTGTGTCAGTATGCGGAGTATTCCTGCGTTGTGTCATGAGTGCGTGCAGCTGTCGTGTGAAACTCCTTGTCGTCGCAAGCGGTTTGCTGCTGGTGACCCTCTTAGGAGCTGCTTTCTCGGAACTTTGAGGCTATCGGTGGAGAAGGAAGAAACTTATGAAAACGAGAGATCGACGACAACCGCGACGAATGCCGAATGACGAAAGATAGATGAGCTGAAGAAGAACGAAGACGACGAAGACGACGAACAACGAGCGACGAGCATCGACGGCGGCAATCGGCGGCGACGACGACGGCGACGAGCAATGACGACGAAGAGGCGCGCTCAGAGAGGCGTCCGTAGGCCTCCAGAGGTCCTAGAGAGTATCCTGCCCAAGGTCGTTGGAGGCGGCCTGAATTCGGTGACATCTTAGAACGCAAGCTGAACATGAATTCGGATAGTTGACGGGTTTGGAAGATGTGTCGGGAACCGCGGCCGTTTCAAAGCGTTCAAGAACGCTATGAGAGCACTATGGAACGCTTTGGACCGATGTATCTTCAACCGGAACCCGCGCGGTAAACGCCTTCCCCGCGGCCAAATGCTCATCCCCATGTGCTTTTGCATGGGCTGGGAATCGACCGCCGACATCCCCATCAACCCAAAGCGACATAAACCGGGGGACCTCGATTTTCCCGAGCCGTCGGATATTTGGAAACTTCGAGGAGGAGAGGCCCCAATTAACAACAAAGAAGCACGGTATGGAGGTATGTTATTCAATTGTTGATGCTCCTGGTGCCCAAGTGGTGGTAGCACACGAAATATACTCAGGGGATGTCGTAAGATTCTACAACCCAATTATCTGACACAGGGGACGCTGCCTTTTACTGTGAATCCGGGGACCCTCGATCCGAACAAGCAATTATTCAATACATCATGCGTCAACTGCTCGCCTGCTGATTGTTGCCACAGTAATACACACAGCACGCAACAAACACAACTCGATATACAGGGATAAAAATCGATACGCAGAGGTTATAACCAACACGGGCGAGAACATACAACATAATCGCATGGCACCAAGCATAGAACCACGTTGATTGACCAGGCCGAATTAACCTCGAGGGCAATCCCAACATCTCTTTCACATCGAAAGCGTAAGCGCTTGAGAGACGTTGGCACAATACCCACCAGGCACTAAACGCTCATCGTGGCCACCCAGGGCCGTGCAAGCAACCACGTTCTTTCCATTCGAGCACCGGAGATTGTCAGATATCACCTGCAGCAATGAATCAGAACACCATCGGCCAATCTCGCCACGCCTTCACAGCACGATTGTTCTGCGAAGGTCGTCTGGCAGCGACTGGATACTCGGGGTGGTCAGCTCCAAATTATACCGTGCTGGAGACTGACAGCGCGCGGCGCGGGTCTTCTGATTGTTGGACTGCTGCGTGCTTAGAAGCGGCGTCGAGCATCCTGACTTTCGCTTTGAAAACCATGCCACCGTCGACGGCCGCGTGTGACCGACCTCCAAGCCGCACGCAATGGAAACACCACGGCGACCGTCAACATGGCCAAACATATCACTCGCCACATAGCTAGCGCTGGTCACACAGGCCACGCCAATCACTGCACAATACGTCGTTTCCGTCTCGCTCTCGCCGCTGGACCCGAAATCCGCCGCGGGGTAGGTTGCTTGCACCGACGATGCTGCGCCGACTGCCAACGTCGCTGCCAGCCCCTTGCTACTGGCTCCGAAGTGTTTGCCACGCTGCTTGGTTGTCGGCTTCGCCTTTAAATCCTCGGCCAGCACTTCTCCCGCCGAATCAATATCCTTTTCGTGCTGCTCTGCAGCGCGCATGGTGAGCTCCTTGCCGGCCGCGGAACCGGGGCCGTAGCGCACGGCGCGGACTCGACGGGGCGGTGCGTCTGCCACCGTCGGGCGGGCGGAAAAGATCGCCAACCCGTCGGCCATTTGCGGCCGGGCATTCACCCACCTCCAGGCGGCGCTGACCTCTGTCATCCGCCCGTTCAAGATCTTCACCTCGAGGACCGCCAACTTCTCTGCGACGCCGAACCGTGCCTCAGCTGACCCCGACGCGTCGCGGCACTTCGTGCCCGCGACGAATGGGGGACTGGCCGGGCCTCGTCGCTCGGGGTCGGGCTGCAGGCCGATGGATCTGGACCCCTCGGCGCCCGAGCCCAGCGCGGCAGTCTGGGCCTCGGCAGAGAGAGAGAGAGAGAGAGAGAGAAAAAAAAGAGAGAGAGAGAGAGAATAGAGAGAATAGAGAGAATAGAGAGAGAGAGAGAGACACAACAAGAGAGAGAGAGAGAAAGAAAGAGAAAGAAACAGCAAAAAATAACACCTGCAAAGCCGCATCAGTTCTTCGAAGCCCGCAACGCGGGCCAGCGCGCTGCTGCCGAGCTCGCTCTCGGGCCCGATGACGAGCCCGCGGCCCCCCCAGAGGCGCCCGTCGGGCCTGCCGGCCCAACTCGCATCGGAGCGACATCCGACCCTCAGCTCACCCCGTAGCTTCTCGAAGTTGAAATGCCGATGCGCGTCTGCGCTGTTCGTCAGGACCGCGCGTCCTCGTCGGCGCCCCGCGAGTTCTGGCTGGCCGCGCAGCCTGCGGCGGCTGGGCTAACGGGCGCCGCCGCCGCCGCGGTGATCACCCTTTGAAAGCCGCTGCAGCTGCGAACTCCTTCGGGGATGGCACCCTCGCCAGGCCAGCTCGGCGACGCCCCCCGATGGCGATGGGCCCCGCCGCGCCGAAGTATGTCCCAAACTTGAGCGCGGCCGATTTGCGCGGAGATCAAGGCCGGCCCGAGGCCCGAATTGCCGAGCTTGATCGCGTGGTCGAGCTCGCCCGGCCGCGCCTGGAAGCAGTCTGGGCTGGCGAGCCCCGCGCGGGCCGCAACCTCGCGCGGCGCGCCTTCGCCGCGCCCGATGGAATCGCCCACGCGCGCGCCAGTCAGGCCGTCCGGGCGCACCCCTCGAAGCTGCGCGCTCCGAAAATGTGCCCGGCGACCATTGCCCTCGCAGACGCAGCAAGAGCAGCCCTCCAGCGGGCGATTCTTGGGCCGATCTCCTTCACGACCGCTTCGGAGCGATTGCGCCGTAGCTCGGGCGATCTGATCAGGGATCTCTGATGCGCGGCTGGACCATCTTCGCGAGCTGTCCTGGCCACAAACCGATCTGGGTCGAGGGGCCTGCCCTCTTGCCGTTCGCCGGGTTCGCGCGCAGCTCGAGTCCGCGCCCTCCGCTTGCGCGCGCGGGGACTTCGCCTCCGCGGTGAACGACCTCCACTTCTGCATCGGCGCCCATGTCATCTAAGCATGCTTGCCAAATCCTGCTTCGCCGCGCAAAGCAAAACTGCTGCGCCTCCTCCGGGGCCAGTCGCGCCGCCGCGATGGCGGGGCTCCTCTAGAAGGCCAACGCAGACTCCTCGAGCGACGGTGCCTCGTCGACTGCCTCCTCGGCGAGAGCGGCGCGCTCCTCCCGCGGCGCCAGATTCGCCCGCGCAATACGGGCGCGATTGGCCGGCGAGGCGCCGTCGAGCTTCTGGGCGCTCTGGCAGCCCAGCTTGGCCGACGTCTCGACGCGGGTCCTCGTCGGCGCCGGCAACTCGCTGGAGCTCGCCGCAGCGGTCTTGGCGGCCCCCGCGTCGCCCGCGCGAGCCGGCGCGGGAACTGCAAGCGCTTCGCCGACTGGGCTGCGGGGCCCGTCCGCACCTGTCAGGGGTGTCTTGGGAGGGCCCGCGCATGGCATTTCCGACTCGTTGGTTCTTGAGTTCACGTCGTCGACCGCGTCGTCGCAGCGCGCGTCGGGCTCCGCCCCCGCGGGGTTCTTGATTCTTGAAGCGGCAAGCGCCTCAGGTAGTCGGAACGCCCTGCCCTTCGCAGCCGCTCGGTGGCGCTGAAGAGGCTGTCGGTCTCTCGCGCGACTCGCATTCCCCCGTCTCACTCGGCTCAAAGTCTTTCGACCGTGCGCCCGCGAGCGACTCGCGCGGCCGACTGGCAGAGCGCCCCGCCCCCGCTGACCGCCCCGCCCACCGCGCGGGCCGTCGCCGGGCCGAGCGATTGGCGCATCTCGAGCCCTCCGACTTCTTCGGCCCCCAGAAGTAGACCCGCTCGCCGATCTCATAGCGCCCGCGGATCACGCAGACTGCCGAGGGCCCGGAGGGCCAGGGAGTTGCGCGAGAGCCGTTGGCCGCGAAGAAACCGCACTGCGGCAGCCGCGCGTCAGAGCATCATCTTGCGACCTTCGCTCGTCGGGCCGGCGCGCGCCGACTGCTCGGACGAGCCGAGGTTCTCGGCGCCGAGGGCGCCCTGGATCTTCGGCTGGCCGACGAGGGCCAGCGCCGCTGGCGAGAAGCCTCGCGCGCCACTCACAAAGCCCCGCTGGCTGTCGGTCATCGCGAGGGCGGTCTTCCAGGGGGTTGTTCGGGAACTGCTTGCAGCTCGTGC